TCCAGTCTCTGAGCTAGCTGTCAGCACAGAGCCTGACATGGGGCTCAAACTCATGAGCCCTGAGATCATGACCTGAGCTGAAGTTGGACACTTAACGGACTGAGCCACCCAGGCATCCCAACAGTTATATTTTCAAATGTGGTAAATACACATAACATAAAGTGTGTTATATTAACCACCCTAAGTGTACAGTTTAGTGGAAGTACGTTCACATTTTCCTGCAAACATCACTACCATCCATCTCCAAAACATTTTAATTTACCCAGATTATAATTATATACCCTTTAAATACTAATTCCCCACACATTCCTCTCCCTAGTTCCTGCCAGACACCATCCTGACTATGAAATAACTACTCTAGGTTTGTCACATAAGTAGACTCAGGCAGTGAATGTCCTTTTGTGGCAGGTTTTTTTAACTTAGCATGATGTCTTCAAAGTTTATCCATGTTACAGCATGTGTCAGAATTTTCTTTTTATTTAGTGCTGAATAATATTCCATTGTATGTGTAGATCTCATTTTATCTATCCATTCATTGAAGGACAGTTCTGTTGCTTTCTCCTCGTGGCTACTGTGAATAATGTTGGTATAAACATGGATGGAAAAACAGCTGTTTATGTACTTGCTTTCAATACTTTTGAGTATTTACCAGAAGTGGAATGCAGGGCCTTATGATAATTCTATATTGAATTGCTGAAGAATTGCAATGTTTTCCATAGCAGCTGTTTCTTTTTACATTCCCAAAGCAATACTCATGCATTCCAATTTCTCTACATCTTCTCCAACACTTATATTTTTGTTTGTTTTTTGTTGTTGTTGTTATTTTATTTTATTTTATCTGATTTTATTTATGTTTTATTTATTACTGTCATGCAGGGAAGGGTCAGAGAGAGAGGGAGATACAGAATCTGAAACAGACTCCAGGCTCTGAGCTGTCAGCACAGATCCCAACGTGGGGCTCAAATCCACGAATCCGGCGAGATCATGACCTGAACCCAAGTTGGACGCTTAACCAACTGAGCCACCCACGCGCCCCTTATTTTATTTTATAATAGCCATCCTAATCGGTGTGAAATAGTATCTCATTGATTTCAATTCCCATAACGTTGAGCATCTTTTCATGTGCCTATTGGGCATTTGCATGTTTTTTTTTTTGAGAAATGACTATTCAAGTTCTTTATTTTTGAGTCAGATTAATTTGTAACTGTTGTTGTTGTTATTGAGTTGTAGAGTTATTTATACATTCTTGATTTGACCTGTTATCAGACATACGATTTACAAATATTTATAAAAATATGTATAAAATATATATAATTTACACATTTTACATACATTATAGATATATGATTTAAAATATTTCCAATTCCATGAGTTACCTTTAAACTCTGTGTATAGTGTTCTTTGTTGCACAAAAGTTTTTAATTTTTATGTAGTCCAATTTATTTATTTATTTCCTTTTATTGCCCGTGGTTTCGGTGTTATAAGCAAATAAATTATTACCAAACTCAGTGACATGAAGGTCATTCCCTATGTTTTCTTCTAAGAGCTTTATAGTTTTTGCTCTAATTTGGTTTCTGATCATAGTCAGTTACTTTTTGTGAATGATGCGTTTGTAAAAATGCTACTTCATTCTTGCGCGTGTGGATATCCAGTTCTCCCAACATTATTTGTTGAAAACATATTTTCCTATTGCACCATTGTCAAAAATAATTTGACCATATGCAGGAAAGTTTATTTCTGAGCTTTCTTCCATTCCATTTGTGCATATATTTATTTTTATGTCAGCATCACAGTTTTGATTGCTATCAATGTGAAATATGTTTTGAAGTCAGGAAATGTGGTCACCCAAGCTGGTTCTTTTTCAAGATTGTTATAGCTAATTGGATTCCCTTCAGATTGTATGGTGACTTTAAGATGGATTTTTATTTTTTGCAAAAATGCCATTCATATATTGATTAAAATTGCATTGGATATGTGGAAACTTAGGGTAGTATTGACATTTTAATAATTTCATCATCAATCTATGAATATGATAAGGTTTTCTATTTGTGTGAGTCTCTGTGTGTGTGTATGTGTGTGCCTTTTTAATATGTCTCAGTAAAATTTTTTAGTTTTTAATTTACCAGTCTTTTGCCTCTTTCATAAAATTTATTTCTAAGTATTGTATCTTAGTTTTGATGCTATTACAAATAGAATTGTTTCCCTAATTTCTCTTTTGGATTGTTCATTATTAAAATATAAAAACACAAATAATTTTTCAGTGTTGATTTGGTATCCTGAAACTATGCTGAATTCTTTTATTCATTCTAACAGAAGTTTGTGTGTCTTATTATTTTGTGTATCTAAAATCTTTTGGACTTTATTCATGTAAGATCTTATTTTCTGTGAACAGAGACTACTTCCATTCCAATTTTAATGAATTTTATCTTTTTTCTTGCCTAATTGCTCTGCTTAGGATTCTAATACTGTGTTAAATACAAATGAGAAGGTGGAGACTCTTGTCTTGTTTCTGATCTTAAAGGAAAAGTTTTCATTTTTACATTATTGACTACATGTGGTTTTCATATATGGCTTTCATTATGTTGAGGTTATTTCTTCTAGTTTGTTAAGTATTTTATCATTAAAGGGGCTGAATTTTATCCAGTGCTCTTTCTACATGAATTTAAATGATGAGGGGTTTTTTTTTTCATTCTGCTAATGGGTAATAAAAAAAGGTCATTCTATTATTCTAAAGAGTTATTAATGTGATAGTTTTCTTTTGCCAAAGAAAACAAGGAAAATTGCATACAACAACTTAATATGTCAATAGCTAAAGTAAATTTAAAATTGTTTCTCACTTGTTATCTTAAAAAAAAAGAAAGAAAACATGTTCAAGGCAACTATTATCCAATTTAAATTATTTGTCTCATACTTAATGACAATGACCTGTAATCTACAGAATAAAGCCAACTTTTCTTTTACTAGTCTTCAATTAGTTTATGTAGCCCTTTGCCAGTGATAACACCATTGCATTTGCTTTGAATACACATCCTAATTTGTTCACTAGTTGAGATTTTTAAATTCATCCCTTAAAATAGAGTTTAAATTGCAGATGTAACATTTAAACTCTATCTTAATTATATTAAAATTCATATTATATTAATGCTCTATTATATTAATATTACATTATGCTCTATTATATTAATGCATAATCAGATATGACTCTTTAATATAGTTTTCAAAATGTTTATGTTTCATAAGTAACAAAAATTTTAAGGTCATCTCCAGCTTCTGAGTAAAATGCCTGGCATAAAATGGGCTCTCCATACTTGTTTAATTGAATGAGTACATGACTAATGACTAGCCAGAATTATTTTTCCCAAACCTTAGTAACCTTAGTATTTTCATTAAAAAATTAAATCCCCATTTGAGTTCATTTCTTTTGATTAATATCAGTGTTCATATAAAATGTCTTTAATGTTGAACACACCTCATGGGAATAGACAGTACTTTAATTTTATGCATATAGCATCCATCATACATACTAATCGAATCTATTGTAGAAGTCTATAGTTTTTAGTTTATTTATCCTTTGATTATAAGCCATTTACTCTTATTTATTCATTTATTTATTATTTATTTATTTTTAATATAATTTATTGCCAAATTGGCTAACATACAGTGCATAAAAGGTGCTCTTGTGTTTTGGGGGGTAGTTTATTTATTTTGACAAAGAGAGAGAGTGCAAACAGGGGAGAACAACTGGGAGGAGGGAGAGAAAGAATCCCTAGCATGTTCTGCACTTTCAGCACAAAGCCTGATGCAGGGCTCAATCCCACAAACTGAGATCATGACCTGAGCTGAAATACAGAGTTGGACACTCAACTGAATAAGCCACCCAAGAACCTCAACCATTTCCTCTTCTAACTCAAGGCATATGAGACATTTGAATCATAAAATGTTTTACTAAAATAAAATTGCAAATATAAATTAATCTTAAAACATATTATTTGAACCTTTCAAAATAATAGCAGATGTCTAAGGCCAGCGTATTGGGTAAAAAATGGCTTTGGTATTCAGCTGCAAAATACAATTGGAATACTGAGAAGGAACATATGATGTATCCGAAGCTATACATTAAAACTCTGTTAAAAATTACTAAATTTTATATGGGAGTACACATGAATATTAATTAATATTAATTCATGTTATATAAGAATTCAATCTGTAAAATATAAGAACACTTTGAATTTCTGAGGGTCAAATAGTTTTTATTTTTAGTGGAATTGAAATCTTTTCAGTATGCATTTATACACAATAGTGGATTTTGTAATCTTCTTACTGTGAAAGGACTTCTCAATATGTAAATTACAGGCTAATATAATTCAGCAGTTCAATTAAATCAATAAATAATTGATAAATTAACATGTTCAGTTTTCAGAGTTTTAGTGAAATTTCTGGAACTCTTAGTATAAATTGCCTGATTCCTTCCTCCTCATAATTCCATTTTATTCTGTTAGTGTTTTTATTTTAAAGATATGTTTGATTGATCTGAGTATAATTTAAGTGCATTCTTCATTATGTATTTAAAGTTATAATCCAGAAACCAAAAGTAATTTCTTATAATGACTGTTGAAATGTGTTTGAAGCTGTGTGATGGCCATAGCAGAAACTCAGTCACAATTTGTTGGTAGAATGAATGAATGAATAAATGAATGAATCTGAAATAGGATAGAGGATTATGAATTACATTTAGCTGATAACTAAAAATGATAGAATTTGTAGTTAGATCTGTAATATTAAAAATTATTTATATCTAGTTTTTCTTCTTCCGTATAAACACTTGAAGGCTGGAGATTTAAATGATGTATTCTGATCACAGTGGGAACAGAGTTAAGACATCAAATTGAAATCCAGAATTTTTCAAATAAATGCCTAAGCATGATATTGAAGAGTAAATGCTCTCTCTGGCAGACATTTATGTTCCACATAATGAAAACTATCCCTGTGCTCTATTCCAGGTGGAGGGGAGCAAGAAAACCAGGACTCTCACTCCCTGCCAGCTCCACGTATAGGACTGTCGTTTCACTCAGTAATGGCAGGTGAAAAGTTTCCAATCCCAAACAAGTCCTTTGTTAGAGAAGTTTTATTTCATGCAGGTGCATCTGAAAAAGACCCAGGCTCCGTCTCCCAACCCAAACCTATACAACTAGAATAGAAGCTTTGCCTTAGGAAGAGCAGGCTGAGGTCCTGAGCCATGATTCTCCTTGCCTCTGCTCCAGCCACAGCCCATTTACAGAGGGGAGATTTTACACTAAGGGGGGCAAGCTGACAACACCAAGAACCATCACCCACTCCAGGGCTTGCTGGTAGACCATGTGTGGGTGTCACTCTGGGAGAACCCAGCTGCTATTCCTAACCTCAGTCCAGTGAAATGGTGCAGAAATTCTGCCTTATGTGGGAGGAAGTCCATAAGGACAAGAAACTTCACAGCAATATTAACGAAGATTGATTTCATATGGACTATAGCTTGAAGAATTCTATGTCTAAGAGCATTGTTGTAAAGAATGGAGACACTGATGGAGAGCAAATAAAAGCAGAGCATCTAGAAGTTTAACAGAGACAACTACAGGAAAAGACATCCAGTGAGAATCTTCCTGAGATTACACTCGACCTTGAGTTTGGGAATCCTGTGTTTGCACTAGAGTGAACCTATTCTGGAGCAATCCGAGGAGCACAAAGGCCAGCTTGAAAGTGTTACCCATGCTGCACATACATCCATCAACAAAAGATACAACCTTACTGGCACAAGAAATTTAAGCAAAACCTTTGGCCAAATACTGGCTGAATGATAATCTACAGTTATCCATGGATACCTTTTTTTTAGGAAACCAGTCTTAAAAATAAAATCACAAACTTCCCTGAGTATCTAGAAGACCATATGCATGGCTAAAAGTATACTTTCTCAGAAGCAATCAGAGAGAAATTCCAAGCTGCAAGGCTGAATGTCAGAAAACATAAACATTCTGAATTATGATAGCAATCTATCATTCACACATATACATCCAAATAAAAAAAAGGGGGGGATATAACAACCCTACCTTAAGGTGGAAACAATTCTACCTTAAGCCTTTTGGCCAATAAGCCTTTGATTTACATTTTCCCTTTTATAAAACACTTTTTTAAATAAAGTTTATTCATTTATTTTGAGAGAGAGAGCAGGGGAGAGGCAGAGAGAGAGAGGGAGAGAGAAAGAATCCCAAGCCCTCAACAATGGACATGATCTTGTTTCCCTGAAATCATGATCTGAGCTGAAATCAAGAGTTGGAGGCTTAACCGACTGAGCCACCCAGGCACCGCTAAATAAAAATTTTTACTACATCGCCATGTATATGAAACTTACTTTCATCTTTTCTAACACATGGAAATCCAAAGCTCCATCCAGTTGGCACAAGCAACTTCAGAAGCAATATCTCTGGGTCACATTCTGTCCTCTTTGTTATGCTTATAATATTAGTTACCAGACAGATTTATTGCTAATAAATTCATTGATGTTAATAACATTTTATTTATTCCTAATTAATTTAATAATAAATATATAGCTTTACATTATATATGCTATTAATGATCTCATTTTCTTTCAAAAAGATGAATTACCACATGATTTGATGAGCAGTATGATAGTGTAGTTAAAACAAAGCACATTATAATTCTATTACTTTAGTTAAAACTTAAGTTCTCACAGCTACTAGCAATGTAAACTGGGGTAAGTTCTATAAACTCTGTCATATTCTTTCCACCAGTAAAACTGAGAAACTATCTTGCCTTACTTTATTTCTGTATAAAATGTCATAATCTGTGAAAATGGTTGGAAGACTACTGACATAGACTAAATGTTCAAATTTGTTAGATTTTATTGAGGGTAAAAAAATTATTGGTACTTTACTGAGTGAAGATAATGAAATAATACTTACATTAAACTCTAACCCTGACCTAAATCTTTGCTTAGAAGTATGAATAGAAAACTGACACATTTCTACAAGGTTTTCTCTATTCTAGATTTAAATATAAGGTTTTAATTTATTGTATTGCTGAAGGTTATATAGCTATAAAAGTTATATAAATTTGAATGCTGCTTATTGAAATAAAAGAAAATGAGGTTTTAACATATAGGTTCATATTCCAAGAATGTTGATCACAAAAATATACCTATTTTTACTAATTGCTCTTTAAATTGTGTTTGATTATTTTCGCTCTTGAATATTTCGGCTTCTTAACAAATGTGAGAATCAATGAAAAATCAAATATTATTCAGACCAATAATTCAGATTGTCTAGTGTAATTTTAGGCATTCATTTAAGTTGCCTTGATACCATTTCACTTTTTTAACAAGCATACATATTTAAATATGAATTCATTCTGTAAATTAACACATTAAAATTCTACATCAATCATTTTGAAAAGTTAATGAAAATGAAATATAACACTCATTTCACATCAGTTCATAAAGTATTAGTATGCCATTAGAACCAAAAACTTTTTGATTTATATAAATAAATGCTGAATCCAATTAGCCCATTGTCACAAACCTGTATGCAATGGCAATTTTCAGCACTGGGACTTTTTCACATGTCAAAAAGATGTTTCTAAGGTATGATATTCTAGTATAGAATAGTTGAGTCACTAATTGTACACCTGAACTGATATAACCCATATGTTAATAATACTGGAATTACAATTTTATTTAAACTTTTAAAAATATTTATTTATTTTTGAGAGAGACAGACAGAGCACAAGCGGGGGGTGGGGGGAGGGGCAGAGGGAGAGGGAGACACAGGATACAATGCAGGCTCCAAGCTCTGAGTTGTCAGCAGAGAGCTGGACGTGGGGCCAAACTCATGAACCACGAGATTATGACCTAAGCCAAAGCCAGACATAACTGGCTGAGCCACCCAGGCGCCCCAGGAATTATAATTTTAAAAAATTTAAAAAAAAGTAAAATATTCTAAAATGAGAGAGAATGACTTAATATGCCACTGCTTCTCAACCTCTCTCTCTTTCTCTTTTAAGAGCATATTAGCTTTCACTGGTGTGCTGGCAAAAGTTAACTGGCACTCTGTGAAAGCAGTGATGGCTTGTAGGATTTGCCATTTTCATGATGTAATGTCTTCGGTGGTGGCTGACTCCTCCCTACCGATGTGATGCCACTAAATGCAGAGCGGAGAAGAAACGTCCACAATGCCTCTTGTGTAAGGTGGATGAACAGGAGCCAACTCAAGCACACCGCTGCTGGAGAATATTCAACAGTCAGTTGCATTATAGTGGTTTTCAGGGAATACTTTTCGGGAAAGTAACAGAATGAAGGTCTAGGAGTAGTGAAGCTATTGTGTAGCTGATTCTGTACATAGTGTACACAAAATGTAACTAGTTTATTGAATATCAAGTCTTTGTTTAATTAACATCATACATGCTTTTATCCTAAAGTAATTACAGCATTGTTTTTTAGTTTCACATAACACTTTTAGGTTTCTAGAAAATGTTTTCTGATTGAGTCTTTTAATAAGATTAGTAAGATTTAAAAAGGAAAGTAGCTAGTAGAGTGTTGCTTAGGGATTTCACTGAGGTGGTCCAAAAGTAGTAAATGAGCTTTTAGCTCATTCACTTAAGTGGTGTCCTTTCAAATTTTTTGCTCAGACAAAAATAATAAGAAGAAGAATCAATATAGTATCTGTTGCTTAAAAATGTATAAGACCTAGTACATTGTTAATAGACCACAGAACTGTAAAATAGATGGATATGATTTCAAGTCCTAACTGTGTAAAATCATATGGCCTCTGTCAATAATTTTGACCTTTCTGCACAGTGCATAAGTCTTCTTATTAATTTATGATCCTATTTTTTTCCTCTTTAAGTTAGATTCCCTATATTTTAACAGTCAGTTTCAAAGCCTATCTTCCTCTTTGGTCTATTTCATTCATCTCTTTCAACCTTACATTTTCCATTGTCTCCACTAAATAATTTGTTCTCAACTTATTTCATAAGTTGAAAAGTTTATCAAACCGCTTGTTGGTCCAACTACAAAGTGTTAAATGAATTTGCATATATAACACAATTAGAATCACGTCTGGCTAACAGAAAAGACTCAATAAATGTTATCTATAATTAATACATACATATTGAGTTTTTATTATGTCATGTGTTCTGTGAAAGGTGCTAGTGGTTAAATAGCTTACACAATTGATGCCAACTGCTCTGAAAAATCATTGATATTTAAGATGAGATAAAGAAAAGTAAACTGAAAATTACTAACAGAGAACATGAGGTTGTCCTAGAAAATAGCTCTGAAGACTAAGGAAGAGTCTTTGAAAGAAGCTGAATCTAAGCTGATTACAGTAAATATCAACATTTTCATCCATGTTACTAAAAAAATTTGTCCTACAAAATTGTATCAGCTTTTAAAGATAGAATATTATTTAGTACTATTTAATATGTATGTAAATTGAAGAAATATGTACTCTAACTTTTATTGCACCAAGGAGAAGAATCAGACTCAAAGAGACTAATCATATGTCTGTGTTTTCAGCTAACATTTCAAATAGTTTATTTTTGAAACACAGGAGTAGTTCAATGGTTGAGAAACAGACGAAGTCCAAAAAATATTTATTTATTTATTTATTTATTTATTTATTTATTTATTTATTTATCCATCTATCTGTCTATATCTAAAATAACTTCATAGTCATCTTATAGTCATGTTAACTTATGAGGAAAAACTGTTGTTAATGAGTGGAATGAAAATCTTTGTTAATCCATTCAACAAATATTTTTTGAGTACAAACATTGTTTTTTAGTTTAGTGGAAAAACACAATCTACTTTGCTTCTACCTGCTTATATTCATATAGAGATGGACCAATAATATAAATATTATTAAGAATAAATAGTAGGAATAAGAATAAAATATAAACCAGACAGTAATAAGGGTTTTGGAGAAAAATCAGATAGGGAAGACAGAATGTTACATGAGGTTATGTTTCAAAAAATAGTAAAGAAATAGTCACAGAAAGCCTCACTTTTAATGTTTGTTTATTTATTTATTTATTTATTTTTAAATTTTTTTATTTCTAAGAGAGAGAGAGAGAGACAGCGTGAGCAGTGGAGGGTCAGAGAGAGAGGGAGTCACAGACTCTGAAACAGGTTCCAGGCTCCGAGCTGGCAGTCAGCATAGAGCCCGACGTGGGGCTCGAACTCACGAACCGCGAGATCATGACCTAAGCGAAAGTCGGACGCTTAACCGACTAAGCCACCCGGGCGCCCCTATTTATTTATTTTTAATAGAGAGAGTGTAAGGAGGGAAGAAACCGAACGAGAGAGAGAGTATCCCTAGAAGATTCCACTCTTCCCATTAACTGAGATCACGACCTGAGCCAAAGTCAAGAGTCGGATGAAGATGCTTAACTGACTGAGCCACCCAGGTGCTCCCTGCCTTTCTTTAAAGTTTATTTAATAGCTTCACTTTTAAAGATGATATGTGATCAGAGATCTGAAGGAGATGAGTGAATCAACCAGGAAACAGATTTCACAACAGAAGGAAGATCAAGGACAAATGCATTGTTTGTAAAAGTCTTGGGTCAATTCGAGTAAAAGCAACGAAACCATTATTGCTGCAGTGAAGTAAAAGAAGAAAAGAGGAGAGGAGATGAAGGTGAGGATATTAGGTAGAAAATCTGGTAGAGTTTTAGGTACAAGTAAAGAGTTTGAGGATGTGTGTCGGGAATTATTTCTGATGGACCCTGGAATATAAACTTAGAAATAAGAGAAGTTAAGACATGTTTGAGTTTAAAATAAGTGAATTATATATTAGAATATGACATTCCAATGTGAAGTTCAGTGATACATAGACATATATATGATGATTCTCAATCCATGAAATAACTATATTGTAGTAAGATGAGATTCCCGAAGTATCAAAAAATCTCTTCCACTAAATAAATAAGCACCTTGTCAAATGTATCATGATTTTTGAACCAGAGTTTTTTGTTTTGTTTTGTTTTTTGATAGTGCACACATGAGCGAGGGAGGAGCAGAAGGAGAGAAAGAGAAGCTTAAACAGGCTCCAAGCTCAGCACAGAGCCTGATGTGGGATGTGATCCCATGACTCTGGGATCATGACCTGATCAGAAATCAAGAATCGAAGGCTTTACTGACTGAGTCACCCAGACACCCTGAACCATGAATGTTTTATACCAGATATGCCTATAGCAGTTTGGGTTTATAAGGTTAAAATGAAATCCCACTATATCTAGTGGAATACAAAATTATTGTATCCTAAAGACAAACACACATATCATGGAATATCAGAATAATGCAACCTATTCTCACAACTATCAAATCTCTTGAAACTCTTGAGTGGTTGAAGCTTTAAAACCTTCAACTGAGATTGAATAAGCAGATAGGGAAAGAAAAACATTACTAAAGAAACAATGAAAACAAATAGGGAATTATATTGAATTAGTGTATTGAAATGATTGGAACAAAAATATTTTCTAGTTTAAAAGATTGATTTTCGTACAAATTCTTAGAATAAATTTAGTATTGGCACTGAATGTTACTG